AGATCTCACCAGCTTTGCTGCTTTAAACACAATCCATAGGGCTGATGGGTCTCACAATTTTATCTCTTGTATGGACCTCTATTCTTCACTCCAGACTCATATCTGAAACAGCTTAACAGGCCTTCTCAGATTTCTCTTGTGGCCCAAATTTAAGGGTCTTCTTTGTCTTTCAGCTTCTTTCACCCTCCATATCCAATCTCTCATCAGATCTTGATGGTTTCATTTTCAAACACAATTCAGAAGCTGACTGCTCCTCATCCTTCCCCCAAGAACATCCTGTTCCAGCCCCATCATCTTCTAAGAGCTCTTGAACTCATCTCCTATTTCTCACACTCTGCTTCACTTCTCACACAGCTTCCAGAACAGCCCTCTTCCACATCACATCTCTTCCCCCTCTACACAACACCCCTTAACAGATTTCCTTCACACTCAGCTCCTGACTAAAATCTCACCTTCAAGAAAGGAGACCTTTCTTTGAGTATGATACAGTATTTAGAATTGGAATCTACTCCTTTTGCTTCCTGAAGATACAGGAGGAAGAGCCAACTCTAACTGAGATAAGGCTCCTGCTACAACACAGATCACTTCTAAGACCTCAGTGCGGGGGTGGGAATTTCTCCTCACCAGCAAAGGAGCAATTCTGCAGTGCTGGGAACTAGCTGAGTGTCACTAACTCAATACCAATCTTATCTACCTGAAGAGAGCATCAGATCCTCTTGTGTTGAGTCCCCAAAACTGCCACCACATCTTGACTTTAGATGTGAGTTACAAGCCCTAGGTATTCTCATCTGAACTTCTGACATGGGGTTCCTGTACCTCCTGAACCTCCTTATCAGGTTGACTAATCTACTTATATTTGCCAGTTTATTGTAAAGGATATAAAAGATAAAAAGGATATAAAAGACACACATAAGTGACCAGATGAAGTGAAGCATGGAGTGAGGTATGAGAGAAGGGCCATGGAACCTCCATCCTTCCCTCTTCAGGAGCACCACCCTCAGGAACCTCCTCACATTCAGCTATCTGGAAGCTCTCAGAAATCCATCCTTCTGATTTTCTCTGAAAGCTTCTCTGCATAGGCATGACTGCTTAGAGACTGAGTGGGGAAACCCAGCAAAGCCTGTCTGATCAGATTCTTTCTGGCCTCTGTGCAGCATTCCTTCTTCCAAGGTATAGTTCAGGACTCCTCTGGTCTGAGTGGGGTCTTATGGTTCACTGCCAAAGGTAGGTCAGAATTTCTGTGGTTTGCCATGAGGAAGGAGGTATGAGCCAGGAATCACAGTTGAAAACAACCAGAATATATGTGATGATACATATTCTGGAAGGCTGAAGTAGGAGAATTGCAAGTTCAAGCCAAGCCTGTGCTGTCTAGGGAGTTCAAGGCCAGCCTATACTAGATAGTCAGACCATGTCTCAAGAAAGTACATATATGAAGTACATAAATAAAGTACATCATTTCTTTTCTGGCTGGATTTTCCCCTCAACAGGTAGCACAATCTAAAGCAAAATACTTTTTCCCTATTTGTCTTATTGTACCTATCTTCTCACATCCAAGTTTTATCTATGCCATGAGTTTTCATCTCTTTAATTCAGAGCCAGAGAGTTCCTGACTCTTAGAAAGTGATCACTGCATACATAATACATCATTTTTAAAGTTACAGAGATAGATAAGAGCCAAAATATTTAGCAAGATAACTAGATTTAATATGTCAGTTTATGCCTCAAGCTAAGTTCAAATTTTACTTATATGGAAATTCTTCTTTTACAGGTTGGGAAATAAAATATTTTTTATCTGAATTGCATGTAAGTAGCAAACTGAAACAAAAATATTTCACCCCCAATATCCCCATCTTGTTTTAGGGGAATTTATTATTAGAATATCAGATTATTTCAGCTCTACTTTAGTTATTAGTCATAATATTTAAATAATGTTGCAGTATAAACACATACAAGGCCTATTAGAAGCCAGTAAACAATTCAGACCATTCAAATGTGTCTTTAAATAACATTCCCATAGTTAGAGAAAAACTAAGTTCACAAAAGTTTACTTGTCCAATCAAACGTCAATGCACTGATAAAGGATTGTGAAATCTTGTGGGCTTGTATAATCTATTAAAAGCATGTTCTCATGAGAAGTGAAACGTATTTCTGCAATGTCAGCTTGGATAGAGTAGGCTAAAAGTTTATGGAAGTGACAACAGGAAAATCATGAAAGAATTTCAGCGCTAGCAAGTTTGGAATCCTTTATTTTTTTCCTATTTTATGATAAAAACATTGTAACAATACTAAATAGGCAAAATAAAGTTTCTATCATCTCATCATCCTAATATAGGAAAAATATCTTCATTTTTTCACATGAAACTTGAATCTGTACAGAGAGATGTATATTACACAGCTGATGTCATAAGGAACATACATACTTGCCGTGCATTTCCCAAAGAATTATATGTTGTTTTACGTTGCAAGTGATTTTTAAAACTTTAAAATAATGAGCTATATAATAATTCATTCAATATGTATCTTATTTATATAGCTATTTTACTATACTGAAATTCTAATGTCATAAATGATATTCATAATTTAGCCTTATTCTTTTGAAAAGTTTCTTTAGGACAGTTCACCATATGTTCAACTATCCAGCCAAAGGAAAACTATTTTGGGTTTCTTGGTATCTATTGCCTGTCTTCTATTTAAAGTGATGGTACATATTTACAAATATTTCAGTCATATATGAGTATAAAGGTTTTATATTTAACACCCCTGTGTAATAGTATTTATTTTTAGAATCATATATGTGTGTGCATGTGTGGTGTTAGGGACTGAACCCAGGGCTTTGCAGATGTGGCACAAGCACTGTACCACTGAGCTACACTCCCCAGCCCAAGCATCATTTAAAGCTTGATCTAAGGAGTTAAAAGATACTGAAGGTGGCTTCCCTTCCCTTCCCTTCCCCTCCTCACTGCTCCCCATTCCGTTTTTGAGATGAGGGTCTCATTGTGTTTCCCATTCTGGCCCCAAACTCAGGCTCAAGAGTAGCTGGAACCTCAGGCACCACCTCAGGCATCAGTGCCCAGATAGTTTCATTTTTTATTATCAATGTGGAAGAAACATTTACATGTAATTATTTATTATTTATTGTATTTCTTTGATTATTGTCTATTTATAATTATTTCTTATGCATCCCCAAAGGAGCTTCCTTTTACACATATATATGTAAAATTAAGTTATTCATATGTTGTATATATTTATCACCTGTCTATAGTTTCTGTACATTCTTTCTTCTAAAAATGTTTTCTATTTAGAATTGTCAAAGTTTTCATCTTAATATTTAGGGTAAACAGTTACCTTGTAACATTCTTTATTATTTAAGAATAAAACCTTGTGATTCATGTAAGGATAGTTAAATAGTATATAAAATAAAAATCAGATCGCATATGTGTACAAACAACAGCCCTATGGCTAAGGAATATGTCTGCAAGACAGATTGCAGTAAAAAATATCCACATTTTACCTGATACCAGTTGTGCTCATCTTTGAAAGTGAAGGCAGAAAGAGCATCGGTGTTTTAATCTAAAAATCTAGTTTTGAATATTGGCTGTGTTATTATCGAGCTGTGAGATCTTAGGCAAATGTTTTAACTTCTTTTAATTTTAGTTTCTTTATATGTGTAGAATATGATTACAAGATCAATTAAAACAATTTCTTTATGCCTGAGGGTACACCTCAGCTCAGTGGTAGTCTGTGAGCGTAGTAAGCATGTCAATCCCTAGCAGCAAAACGATAATATATAAATAATGACTATGAGGGTTAAAAATGTTTTTTGTAAATTGTCTGATACTCAGAAAACTATCAGTTATTGAATAATCATCATTTTAAAATTTCATTTGTTTGGATATGGGCTTTTAAAATTTTATCCTTGCTGTAGCTCCATGAGCTATATGGCCAGATTTTCTTCATTTTATAGCTTACAAAACCAAGAACTAAAATGCTTAAGTAACTACTCAATGTCACCCACCTGGGAATGGGGTTTCTGGGATCTGAAAGTAAGCAGGCAGTGTACTCTTGGAATATTGGTAGGCCAGGGATTTAGCTCAGTGGCTCCGTGCCTGCCTCACAAGCACAAAGTCCTGAGTTTGATCCCCGGTACCACCAAAAACACAACAAAAAAAAGAATATTGGCTCTGAACCACCACAGAAAACATTCATAATCTCAGTTCTGTGCCTTTGTTTTTACCACTATTTTCAAATGGTCAATGACAAACACCAACCACTTGGGTCGTTCTGTGTAAGTCTTCCCCAGTTTTCAAGATGAACCTAAATTTTAGTATCTCCATGAAGATTTTTCTCTGTGATAATCCTTTCTCCAGTTGAAGTAACTTCAGCCTCTCCCATATTTCCACAGTAGTTATCTATAGCACTTTTATGTGCTCAATTTACATTATACCTCTGGGAGTCTATGCCTTAGACCATAAAGTCCTGAAGATAGAGACTTTCATTCTTTGCATCCCTTCCCTGCATCTACTTCAGTGAAGTGTATATAGTAGATATCCAGCAATTGTTTGCTATGTGGGCAAATAAAGATTATAGAAAGCATTAACTTAAAGTAAAAAATATATGTGAAAAGTAAAGAAAACAGAATAACTAAAATTTGTAAAATTATGCTTGGAGTCAAGCCAATATTTTTAACAAACAGGCGTAATAATATGACAAATATTTCTTATTCAAACTACAAACTATTTAGTATATTTCATGAATACTTAGGCACATTTATCCATTTTTTCCACTCAGAAAATCTTAAAAATTCTTACATAATCATTTAAAACAAGCAAATAAAATTAGTGATAGAAGAAAATATTCCATTAGAAATTACTGATTATCTATACTAAAATCTCTGTCACACACACACACACACACACACACACACATACGCACATGAAGTAGACACATACAATCAATAGAAATAATTTTAAAAACATACATTAAAAGTAAATCTCTTTTACCTTGGATTGCAAAGAAGGCAGCACTGATTTATCCACTTCCTTCTCTTTACAATTGAAACCTAAAATCTTTATATCGTTGTATCTCAGCATCTGGTTCTTGAAGAAAGGAAATAACACATTTGTGTTGAAAATTTTTCTAAGAACTGTGTTTCAATAGCACTTTCCTCAACCCACAAGTTTGCAAAATCTAAATGAGTCAGACAACTTATTCCTCTTCCCATGTAGGACATTAAAAAATAAAATGAGAAGTAGAAAGGAAAAGAAACAAGGACATTGGAACAGGGCACATAATTATAGCAGAATGATCTTTCCCTTTTAGCATGTTGTGTATGCCTTATAACATTTGATAATTCCCATTATTTCCTCATGTTAGATTTGTTTTCCTTCATCCTTTGTCTTGTACCCTGTATCCAAGTTCTGAAACACAGAACACATGAAGAAAGGATTTGATGCCTAATAAATAAAAGTAATATTCAAATAATGCTCACTTTAACTCTCTTTATACTGATCTAAACATTATCTAGCTTTGACTACCTAACAAGTTATTTATTTTCCCCAGAAGCATGGAGGTTTCAAATGTGGGATCAGAGGAAAGAAAAAACCCTTACTTTCTTACTTTGTACTACTCCATCAGAGTTATACATATTTTGCCTCATTTACTGACCCAGTTCAACAACTTCAAGTATGGCATACATAAAACACATTCAACATTACATTAATGGGTTTTTACAACTAATACTTCTGAGAGAAGGTATTTAATTTATATTTTATAGGCACTTCTAGGTGCTCTAAACAGGAGGAATCATACTTTTTATCAAAGGATGGTCAAAACTGAAAAGCGCACACGACCTCCCAAAAGACAATATGCCTAGCAGAAAGAATGGACAGCATCTGATTCTTTGATGCTTTTTTTTTTTTTTTTTTGAGACAGTGTCTCACTGTGTAGTTCAGGCTGGTCTTGAACACACTATGTACCCCAGGCTGGCCGAGGTGATCCTCCTACCTCAGCCTCCCGAGTGCTGCAATTACAGGTGTGCACCACCATGCCTGGCCAGTCCAGCCATTCTTTTATTTTGCTTTGTTTTTATTTATTTTATTTATTTATTTATTTTTTTTTATTATTTTTTTTTCCAGTCCAGCCATTCTTATAGTAACCACTGAAAGGCTAACAGTAGGGCAGGGAGTAGGACTCAGTGGTAGAGCACTTGCTTAGGATGCTTGGGGCCCTGGATTCCTAACACCATTAAAGAAACTAAAAGTAAATAAATAAGGAATAAATAAATGGCTAAGAGTAACAGAGGCATTAAATAAGCTGTACAGTTTCAATAAGAAATAGGATCATGCCCAGCACAGTGAAGTATGTCTATAATCCCAACAACTCAGGAGGCTGAAGCAGGAGGATCACAAATTTGAGACCAAGTTAGTGAGACCTCATTTCAAAATAAAAATTTTAAAAACCTGTGATATAGTTAATATGAATCCCTGGGTTCAGCCCTCATTACCACACACACAAAAAAAGTATGATCAAAAATTGATACAGTCTAGACTAGCCTGAAGGCTATTAAGCTATTCCTTAGACAAAGTGGTTTAAATTTATCTCAATATTCTTGATGAAGAGGAACTGGTAACTAACATCAAAACTCATTCAATTTTATTTATAATTATTTGTACATACATCCTAATTTAGAACATGGGGTCTACCAAATCTGGAGTTGAAGAGCCTCTTCTTATACTGTTAATCTGGATATCCCTATAGTCAACACTACAGGTTTAGAAAAGTTGACTCTGAAATTTACAAGACAAAACACCAAGATACCAACTTTCCAAAAATGGGAAATATTTTCAGCGAGAGTGAGCTCTATTTCTAGCTTGTCTCGATAATACTGGTATATAGCTGTACTTCCACACTGCAAACCATTTCCTTACTTGACTGCTTCTACATTCTTAGGTCAACATAATTGTTCAATTAAAAAAACCCTCTCACCCTCTTTATGTGTAAATATATAATAGCATACATAAAGATTCCATATATAGATGTGTATATCTAAATATAGTTATGTTTATATGTGTCTTATATAATGTTTTATACTACGTAACAGTCATTGTTTTATCTTAGCTTGTGGTAAAACAACTTGCCAGAAAATCAAGTAGAAAGTGTTTAGCTTAAGACTAGGGTTACATGAAAGAAAAAAGGGAATGTCTAAGAGTTGTGTACTTTATTATTTAATTTAATTTCACAACTTTGCCAGATCATTTTCCTGATTAAAAAATTAAGGATTACAAATATGCTTCAGTAAACAAGATCATAAAATTATGACTCATCAGAAGGGAAAGTCAAACACATACTGATTTCAAAACCTGTATGTATTTTTAAGAATATGTATTTTTCTTAATATGGGGTCATGGGTATTATCAGGGGTCTACAAATTCTTCAGAAATGTTATATGTAAAGCAAAGTACAAACATTCTAGAGCATGTCGATGGGCACCTTGCTTTCAGTTACTGTGATAAAATCTTAATCACTTCATTTTTGTTGCTTTTGGAGATAAGTGTGCAGGCTGAAGGCTGTATAAGATTCTGCCCAGTGTTGACACACACCTACAATCCCAGCATGCAGAGAGGCTGACTCAGGAAGATCACAAGTTGGAGACCAGCCTGGGATACTTAGCAATTTAGCAAAACTGTGTCTCAAAATTTTTTACAAAGGCCTGGGGATACAGCCCAGTGTGAAGCTACAAGTTCAATACCCAAAACTGAGAAAAAATATTTTGTCTTTTTCAAATAAGGGTCACATGAAATAGAAAAATGGATCAGAAGAACTGAGTTAAATAACCTAGGGATTATTGTAATAGAAGCATGGTGAACACAAAATCTAAAATTGTATCCAGTCATTAGTCCTAACAGATAAGATATGACATTTGTGATAAATTTCCAAAGATAATATTTTTTATGTTCTGGATTTCACAGGTATAATTAAGATACTGATTTAAATACAGGTTTTAATAATGCTGTAATGGACACTTATCTTCACCTGAATATAATGTTTTTATAGAAGATGGATATTGAAAAACTGCATGCCAGCAGAGTTTTTGTCAGATTATCATAAGTAGAAAAAAACCATATTATCAGTAATATGATATATAACCACATATGAACAGAAGTTTCCTGTATTTTTGAAGTCAAAATATAGAAACAGACTAAATATAATATCAGCCTAAAGAGTGTTTTCCTTCTAGTAAACCTGTAATTATATTTTGGCTCATCTATACAATTGTAAATTGATATTGATAACTAAAATTTTAGGTATTCTTAATAGAATTTTAAATTTAAGTTTAATATGTATTACATTTCAAAAGTTGGTTAAAAACTGTAGGGTTATGGATTTTAGGTCTGAATTTATGCTTCTGTATTTTAACACAAAAGAAATAAAATAGTATAGTAGCACTCAATGGGGTGAGGAGACCAATATATTTGTTTCTTTAAGAAACACTATACTATGTCATATTGTCAGTTTTTTATTAAGTTTATTGGTACATGTTAGGTATATAATACATTTACATTTGTCATTGGGATCTTGTAATTTTACATAATGTATCTTGGTTCTTATTTTCTCCCCATTCCCCTGCCCTCCCCTCACCACCGCCACTCTTCCCTATTTACAAAGACTTTGTTTCCATTTTTTCCTTTTCTCATGCTTTTTTCTCTTCCTTTCTTTCCTTTCCTACCCCCTCCCACTTCGTCTACTCCTTTAGACCTTTTCTTCCAATTCCAATTATCAATTATACATTTTGATCCTTATTTACACTTTTAGTTTTTCACACCAGAGAAACTATTTGCTATTTACACATGTGTGCCCTATTTATTTCACTTAAGGGTATGGCCTCAATGTACATCCATTTAGCTATAAATGTTTCTAGTTTCTCTTTCTTTATGGCTGAGTAATACTCCATTTTATAAAAACAAAACAAAACAAAACAAAAAAAACCTACATCTTCTTTATTCAGACTCCAGATGATGGGCAATTGGGCTGCTTGCAAGTTTTAGCTATTACAAACTGCCGCTATAAAAATGAGTGCACATATATCGCTGTGGTGTGATGCTTTTAATTCTTTTGGGGAGATACCCAGCAGAGGAATAGCTGGTTCAAATGGAATTTCTAATCCTAGTTGTGTGGGGTATCTCCATATTGATTGCCACAGTGGTTACACCAGTCTGCACTCCCACCAACAGTGCAGAAGGGTTCCTTTCTCCCCACAGCTCTGCCAGCATTTGCTGTTGGTTGATTTCTTGATAGCAGCCATTCTTTCTGGGGTGAGGTGGAATCTCAGTGTTGTTTTCATCTGCACCTCTTGAATGACCATGATGTTAAACATCTTTTCCAATGTTTATTTGCTATTTCTACTTTTTTGTCTGAGAACTGCCTGCTCATTTCAGATGCCCATTTTTGGATTAGGTCTTTATATTTGGGGGGTTTGATTTTTTTGAG